CCCCTCTCCCTCTCTCCCCCTCTCCTCCTCCTCCTCCTCTCCTCCTCTCCTCTCCCCTCTCCTCCCCTCCCTCTCCCCCTCTCCCTCGGTGGGGACGGCAGGAGCGAGAGAAAAAACGCCGCCGCCGCCACTGTCGTGGATCGATGCAAATGCGATTTCGTCAGTGAATTAGTGTCATTAGTGTCGTGAAATTAACGATGCTTTATTAATGCCTTCACGGAGTCTCGCGCGCGCGCTCGATAGAGAGACAGAGCAAGAGAGCGAGGGGGAGAGGGAGAGAGAGGGAGGGAGGAAGGAGGGGAGAGAGAGAGAGAGAGAGAGAGGANGCAGTAGTAGCAGCAGTAGCAGCAGCAGTAGTATTGAAGTAGCAGCAGCAGTAGTAGCAATAGCAGCAGCAGCAGCAGCAGGAGCATAGTAGCAGCAGTAGTAGCAGCAGTAGCAGCAGCAGCAGCAGTAGTAGTAGCAATAGTAGCAGCAGTAGTAGCAGCAGTAGCAGCAGCAGCAGTAGTAGCAGCAGTAGTAAGAGCAGCAATAGCAGCAGTAGTATTGAAGTAGCAGCAGCAGTAGGAGCANCAGTAGCAGCAGCAGCAGCAGCAGTAGCAGCAGTAGCAGCAGCAGCAGTGGCAGCAGCAGTAGCAGCAGCAGAGTAGTAGCAGCAGCAGCAGCAGCAGCAGCAGCAGCAACAGCAGCAGTGCCTATACAAGGCACCGCCCGCTACATCCACTCCACTCCCTTCCATTACAGCGGAAAACACACGCACATACACATGTGCACGAACACGCCCACGCACGCACGCACGCACATACATACACACACGCGCACGCACGCAGATGCGCGTATAATATTCTTATATCAGTCTATTTTCTCTGTCTTCTTTTCACTCTCTCTCATTCTCTTTCATTCTCTTCTTCTCTCTTTCTTTCCCACACACACGCACACGTACGCGTCTCACTCACCCCTGCCCCCTCTCTCTCTTTCCTTCTTTCCCAGCTCTCTCTTTGCGCGCGCGCGGTGTGTGTGTATGTGTGCGTGCGTGCGTGCGTGCGTGCGTGCGTGCGTGCGTGCGTGCGTGTGTGCGTGCGTGCGCGTGTGTGTGTGTGTGTGTGTGTGTGTGTGTGTGTGTTTTACGCTGTAATGGAGAGGGAGATGTCTTGTATAAGCTCAGCTAGTGTAGCATCAGTTCTCAACGACAAGCAACCCTTCTCCGTCCTCCCCCTCCCCTCCTGCACCCTCTCCTACCCTTCCTCTCACCTCTTCCACCCGCCCTCCGCCTCCCTCTCCTCTATCTCCCCCTCGACCTTCTCCCCTGCGTCACCTTCCCCCGACCACAATCTAACCTGTGCAATCCGCACAGAATCAAGTATTAATAGCGCAAAAATGCAGCACATGATCGATAGAATCGGTGCACGGAGGAGGGGAGAGAGGGGATGAGGAGGGGGAGAGAGGAATTGGGAGGGGGAGAGAGGAAGGGGGAGGGGAGAGAGGGGATGGGGAGGGGGAGAGAGGGATTGGGAGGGGGAGAGAGGAGGGGAGAAAGGGGATGGGGAGGCGCAAGCGGAGAGAGCACGGGCGCGGGGCGAGAGATTGGGGTATGGGGGAGGAGGAAAGAGGGATGGGGGAGCGGGACGAGAGCAGGGAGGCGGGAGCATGGAGGGATGGGGAGGCGCGGAGAAAGGAAGGGGGAACAGGGAGGGGTTCTTTCCGTGATTTCTTGTTCAGGCGCGCCGTGAGCTAGCCACGCAAGGCAGCTACCGTCGTCGCACGTGAGCTGCTTGCATGGGCGAGGAAGGGCAGGGGAGGAGGAGGGGAGGAGGGGGGACGGGAGGGGGGTAGAGTAAGGGCGAGGGGAGGAGTGAGCGAGGGAGAAGGGGAGGGGCTTGAGGGAGAGAGGGAGGGATGGAGGGAGCGAGGGAGGAAGGAGGGAGGGAGGAAGGATAGGGGAGGGAGCAGAGGTTCAGAAGGAAGGGAGGTGAGGCGAGAAAGGGAGAGAGGGTAGGGAGGAGGGAGGGGGGGAGGGAGGTCGAGGGAGGGGGGATGGGAGAGGGAGGGCAGGGAGGGAGGGAGGAAGGCAATGGCGAGGGAGGGAGGGAGCGAAGGGAAGGGAGGGAGAAAGGAGAGAGGCGAGGGAGCGGAGGGAAGGGAGAGAGGAAGCGACGGGGCGTGAGCGAGGGAGGGAGGGAGGCGAGAGCAGGGAGGGAGGGAGGGAGGCGAGGGAGGGGAGGCGAGAGAGGGAGGGACGGGAGGGAGGGAGGGGAGCGGAGGGAGGGGATGCGAAGGAGCTCGGATGTAACTATGCTAAAAAGCAATATAAATTAATTAACACACACACAACACACACACGCACGCCACGCACACACACCACGTTACCCCGCACGCACGCCAGCGCGCGCACACACACACCCGCACGCACACACACACACCACACACACACCACACACGACACACACACACACACACACATACACACACACACACTTTCTCTCACACACTCTTCCCCCTATTATATCTCTATTTGACTCGCTCTCGCTTTCTTTCATCTCATTTTTCTTTCTCACAGGCTACAGCCTACAAAGGTACGCCATCTAATCCGACGACGACGATGACGACACTGGTAACGACGATACTGACGACGACGACACTGACGATGACGACACCAATGATGACGAATGACACTTACGATCAGAACTCCAAATATGCGACACTGACGACGACACTGACGATGACGACAGTGACGATAACGACAGTGACGATGACGACAGTGACGATGACGACAGTGACGATGACGACAGTGACGATGACGACAGTGACGAGGACGACACTAACGCTGACGATAGCGCACGCGGTCTTGACTAATGAAAGGCTAATGAAAAGCGTAGTGGACATGATTTGCGGTAACGCGAGGCTGCAAATCGAATTAGAAGCTGCGCGGTAATTATAAAACACAACGCTAATGAGCAAGATTTCACGGTAGCGAAAGTGAGGGAGATAAGAGAGAAGGGGAGGGAGAGAGCGCGCCAGACAGAGGAGGAAAGTGTTAGTAGGAGTGAAAGAAAGACAAAAAGGACAGCGAGTGGAAGAGTGTGTGTTTGTGATTGAGAGAGAGAGTGAGTGAGAGAGTGAGCGAGAGCGCGCAAGAGAGAGAGAGAGCGAGAGAGAGAAAGAAAGAGAGAGAGAGCGAGAAAGCGAGAGAAAGACAGACAGAGAGAGAGAGAGAGTGAGAGAGAGAGAGAGCGAGAGAGAGGGAGGGAGAGAGAGAAAGAAAGAGAGAGAGAGCGAGAAAGCGAGAGAAAGACAGACACAGAGAGAGAGAGAGTGAGAGAGAGAGAGAGCGAGAGAGAGAGGGAGAGAGAGAGAGGGGAGAGAGAGCAGAAAGATAGAGAAAGCACCACAGAGAGAGAGAGAAAGAACGAGAAAGCGAGACGAAAGAAAGAGAGACAGACAGAAAGAGAGAGAGAGAGAGAGAGAGAGAGAGAGAGAGAGGGAGAGAGAGAAAGAAAGAGAGAGAGAAAGCGAGAAAGCGAGAGAAAGAAAGAGAGACAGACAGAGAGAGAGAGAGAGAGAGCAAGAGTGAGAGAGAGAGAGCGAGAGAGGGGGAGAGAGAGAGAGGGGGGGAGAGAGAGAGAAAGAAAGAAGAAAGAAATGAGACGAGAGAGCGCGCGAGAAAGCGAGAGAAAGAAAGAAGAGACAGACAGACAGAGAGAGAGAGAGAGAGAGAGAGAGAGAGAAGAGAAGAGAGAGAGAGCGAGAGAGAAAGAAGAGAAATAAAATGAAACGATAAGAAGAAAGAAAGAAAAAAAGAAAGAAAGAGTC